CAAAGATGACGATATCAACAGGATTGTCAGGCATATTGAAGGTCAGATGCTTTCCATCCCCCTTCCGCTGTTTTCCGTCTCCCCCAAGCCCTTTTTTGTTGCCTGCTCTGATGATTTTGTAACAAAAAAGCATCAGGATCTTTAAACTTTCAGCATATGATAACTAATTTTTTTAAGGTTTTGTGAAAACGCTTTGTTTCTTCGTGGAATCGGCGCGTACTTCGTGTAGAAAAGGATAAAAACAGCTATATATTTGCACATCTTGTTTGACATTATATCTTCCCACTTAACAGTAATCCGATGCTCTATCAGTATCACACCGTCAGCTCGGTTGGCTAATGTTGAACGAATCCTAAAATATGTATGTTCTTGGCCTCCAGTTCTTGCTTATTTGAAAGGCTGGGCACCGGCGTCTGTGGTGTAGTAGTTATGCGCATCGCCGTCTCACACAAATTACCTTAGTTCGATTTCCGACGAAGGGTTGGGGGAGGAGGAGGGGTGTGGATTTTTTTAAACGAATATCTTTGTCTTTCTTTTGGGACATTGTGTCCCTCTCAGTGGAGCTGGGGGTGGGGGGTGGGGGGCGGGATCGAATCCTTACTCCTAAATGATTTTCGTAAGTTATGCAAATGGATTCGTAATGCGTCTACATTAAAAACCGGCTCTGTTACCTCCTACTTGGGATATTTTCTGTTTGAGATAGACACTTTAAGCTGGAGGTTTGGCCTCTGAAATAGCCCACGTTCAACCCACGTAATAGCCAAATAATTCCTGACCAACCATGAGGCCAACGGAGGAAGATTGGAGTGCACCACTAGTGGGTTTTACGTCCTTTACTATCTGACCATCGTTTCAGTCTGACCTTTTTCAAGTACAAAAAGATCTCACTTCTGTCTCTGTTCTTCTCTTAACTCAAATACTTGAACAATCCGTTACTCTGTCATGTTGCAGATCCTCGGAAGAAGGCGTTGTTCGAGGGATTATTGGACCCGTCTCCTAAGTCGAGGTCCGAGCTGGACGTGATGAAACGAAATCGATGGATGACGGGTGAGCTGCTTTTTTGTGTTCTATAGAACTTCTATTCTTTTTTTGTTTGACTTTACTGGTTATAAAACAGGCCTTTCTCAACCTGATGGGGTCTGCTTTTCTTACTTCTGTCTACTGGAACTAGTTATATAAAGAAGAGAGACTATTAAGTCCACAAGCTTCAATTGAGTACGGGCCGCTGGTTGTCAACACCAACTCCAAAAGCGTGTCTCTTCCCCAGAGTGAAACAAGGAGGTACATATTCCAGTGGTATTCTTACTTCTTTACTCAGACTTTTTATTTTTTACTTTCTTTTATTATCATTATCTTATATATATATATATATATATATATATATATATATATATGGCGACTAACCTTGTGTGTTGTTATGTGTAGTACGTGAGTTCATGAGTGAGAGTTCAGGGAAAGTCGCCAACCTGTTCGAGTGAATGTACGAATGTGATGTCTCGTCCTGAGGCCTTATATTATGTGCGTATCTCTCTTCATGTGACAACAGGATTATACTCGCTGTCTTTCCATGTGTTCTAATAATTTGCAGAACGAAAGGATATGTATGTTACATTGGTAACCCAGACGTGATCTAAAGTAACCTTGTCTAGAGATCTAGATTTAATTTAGCATAACCTAGAATCTAGTAAAGGCGATACGTTTCTCACAATCATGCAAATCGAAACTGTAGCACTCAAACTTCCTACGTTCTGGATTTCTTGTCTTTCCGCGTGGTTCGCACAAACAGGGGCCCAATTTGCTTTGCGTGGGATCACAACTGACGAGACAAAATACTACTACGTCGTAGCGGCACTTGAAGCAGCTACAGCAGCAAGATCCCTATCCATATTTTCCTCACCTCCTTCAAGTCAAAAATACGACACGCTCAAGTCTTTCCTTATAGAGGCCTATAGTTTATCAGAGGAAGAAAAACCAGCAGCCTTATTGAGCATAAAAGATATGGGCGATAACAGGCCCTCTGAGATGATGGAAAAAATGCTAGCTTTGTTGGGAAAACACAAACCGTGTTTTCTTTTTCGCCATATTTTTTTACAGCTGCTGCCACAACCAGATTTATATTTGTTTGGAGAGAAAATTCCATGTTAAAAAACAAGCTCGTTTCCTGGGCGTAATCTTCGACAATAAACTTTCTTTCCTACCACACTTGAAAGACCTAAAGACGAGGTGTCAGAGTGCTCTCAACGTCTTAAAAGTATTATCCAATCCTAAATGGGGAGGAGATACTGAAATACTTCAACTTTACCGTTCCCTTGTCCATGCCAGTCCTGTTTACGGATCAGCCAGAAAGTCTTACCTTAAAATTTTAGACCCTGTTCAGAACCAAGGCCTTCGCCTTGCCCTAGGCACTTTCCGTACTTCACCTGTAGAAAGTTTACAGGCAGAAGCGCATGAACCATCTTTAGAACTTAGAAGGAAAAAAACTCTATTTGCAGTACGCTTTGAAACTTAGCTCAGTACCCCAAAACCCAGCCCACAAATGTGTCTTTGGCATTCCCGAAGATCTAAAAACTCTATCCTCCTTAGGAAATAAAGTAAGTCCTTTCGGAATAAGAATCCAGAACGATCTCAAGGACATTGATTTTTCTGAAGACATAATCGAGCCCTTTGCCATGTCCAGCATACCTCCATAGCATTTAACCAAACCAAACATAGATACTAGTCTTGAAAAACACAACAAAAAGTCTACAGACAAAACTGCATACTTAAACTCATACAAACAGCTAATAAATAGATACCCTGAAGCAGAGAAACTCTTTACAGACGGATCCAAAAATGACTCCTCAGTAGGAGCTGCTGCCCTTGCATCGCCACACAGCTTAAGCTTAAGGAAACTCCACCCAGAAGCTTCAGTCTACACTGCTGAAGCTACAGCTCTTGAAATATTATAGATCAATCAACCAAGTCTACTTTCCTAATCCTTTCAGACTCTCTCTCTTGTCTGAAATCTTTAGAGCGCTCTGACACCTCCGACAACAGAATTTTAAAACTTTTAATTAAACTGCATTTTCTACATCAGTGTGGAAAAACTATTACAATAGCTTGGTTTCCAAGCCATGTAAGCATTGATGGCAACGAAGCCGTTGACCAATTTGCCAAAGAATCTCTAAAACTACCGGAAAACAAAAATAGTAAAATCCCTTTCTCTGACATGAAACCGAAAGTAAAAGAACACATCACATCCTCCTGGTCCCAAATTTGGAATAAAAAAATACACAACTCCATTACATAAAACCGAAACTTACGCCCAGGAAACCACTATCTCTCCTACAAAGAGAAAAAGTAATTTTTACCTGACTAAAGATAGGACACACGCACGTCACGCACAAGCATTTGCTCGAAGGAGAGGAGGCTCCTTTTTGCGTGGCGTGCAACACAGATTTCACAGTTCGGCACATCCTAACGGAATGTGTCGAATTTAATTATGTTCGTGAGAAATATTTTTAAATGTAAAGATTTTAAGACCCTTTTTCGACATCGTAGAGCCTAGAAAAATTTTAAGTTATATAAAAGAAATTGGACTATTTAATAGAATATGAAAATGTATAGTTATCGTTATCGGTGTATATGTACATACACTGAAATTCATATTGTATATACAAATGTAAATAAGCCTTTTCCATATTTACCCCAAAAAAATTTATAAATGTTTGTTTGTCTTTTTAGCATAATGAAAATATTGTGATCGCGTGCGGTTGCGAGCTCCGAAAGACTTTTACTAAAAACACGTCTGATTTTGTAGCGGTGAAACCTGTTGGCGCTTAAATGACCAAAATGGTGTCGATAGTGCCATAAAACATCTACCCAATCAATCAATCAGAAGGAGGCCGCACGGAACGCATCTCAGTAGATCGCCTCAAGCCTGCACAGGTAGACCCTACCCACCCTGTCCATCTACAGCAACCAGCACGACGTGGCCGCCCTCCGGTGTTACGGGAACCAAAGCCTACCGTTAGGAGCACCGATGGGCGAGAGCAAGATACTGAGGCCGTTCACCACCGACAACTCACAACACCTGCTGGACGTCGAGTGCGTCCACCCACACGCTACCAATGATTCCATGAGACGTCTGTGCTGGGGGGAGGTGTGTGGCGACTAACCTTGTGTGTTATGTGTAGTACGTGAGTTCATGAGTGAGAGTTCAGGGAAAGTCGCCAACCTGTTTGAGTGAATGTACGAATGTGATGTCTCGTCCTGAGGCCTTATGTGTGTGTATCTCTCTTCATGTGATAACAGGATTATACTCGCTGTCTTTCCATGCGTTCTAATAATTTGCTGAACGAAAGGACATGTATGCTACATATATATATATATACACATATACCTATAATATATATATATATATATATATATATATATATATAAGTATCTATAATATATATAATCATATACATATATATATATATACACACAAATATATATCTATATATAATTTATATATATATATATATATATATATATATATATAATATATATATATGTGAGGCAGCGTGGTGGAATCAGGCTCTCGGCGATTTTTGGGTATAGAGTTATTGGTATCATCTTAAAGCTTGTTCAATTGTCTTTATTGGGATGAAAAAAATATCCATTTATCTTGAATACAAGTCGAGATATTTGCAAATGAAAGAGGTGGGGGTCTCCTGTTTTCAGAGGTAAAATTAGTGAGAAAATGGCTGCCAAAGATTAGTTATTTCCATAGCTTAAGAGTCCGTGGTAACTGAACATTTACTTTTTGTGTGCCTTTAATCTACATTTTTCAGAAAAATCCACACAGAAATGAGTTCTTTAAAGGGCATGAAAGGTGTTGAGCCAAAAAACAAAAATTTGATGAAAATTCACAAACCTGTGGAAAAATGCTAGTTTCTTCACTTTGATTATTTTGACGAGAGCCTGATTCCACCACGCTGCCTCACATATTATATATATATATATATATATTTTATATACATATATATATATATTAATTTTTTAGAATTAGGTCACAAATGTTTTGTTTTTTAAAACGTTGAAGTATTTCTTTTACGAAATTAACAGTACAATCACAGTTCGTGTTTCTCTTCTCTCTCATTTTTCAGCCACGTTGACACCACCATCTTCTCCACGTGGGGCCTCATCTGAGAAAGCCAGCAGGTGAAGCTGCAGTGCTGTTTCTGACATAAGCTACCTCTTCGATCTGTGAAGAGACATTCAAGTTCTGTGTTTCTGTATACTGTCCTGAAAATTGTCTCCCTGCACCACAGGTGACTCGGGTGTGTCTCTGTATAAAGCACATCTGGTGTGCCACTGTAATGGTGTGAGGGGACAGACGAAGATTGTACAAAATTGTTCTCGGATAAGCAGACCTATCGTGTTTCGTGACCCTTTTACAGTCACACTGAAACAGAACGCTATCGCTCAAATTACCACATTAATCTAACAGTTAGTTATGGTTTGTTCTTGGAGACACATTTGAGCTGAAAGGTGGAAGCGTTACGAAGTGTCTCAGAATACCTTTGCAAATTGTTTCACTTTTACAAAGCATTGCCTTTCAATTGACTCAGTCATTGTAAGCCTATTTTATAGGTTAATATATCGAAACGGACAACTTTGGAGACTATTACTGCCTCGTACTTTCGAAAAAAGTATCAAAGCCTTGCACTTTTTAATGATACCAATACAATTTGATTGTTGATTACCTATATTTTTGCGTCATCGTGTTACATTTACAAGTCATCATTTGATTAACAGCAATTTTGGCACACTCCTTGCACAGCTATGGCTCATTGAAAGGGAAAAACATCTTAAGTCAAGCAAATGCAAGATGTAAAACTGTTGGTTTTATTTTTTGTAAACCAGTTATATTTTTGTGTGTCACAATCACACCTCAGTTGACTCACGTGAAGAATCGTTTTCGTTGCTCTAAATTTTATGGAAATGGTACAGAGTAGTTTTTGTCAACGATTACTTCGTTAAAAAGTGCTCGACTTTGATAGTGCGTTGCTTTGTTACCCTTTTTTTTCGAAAGTGCACGGTCACGTTTTGGTGCGACTTGACTCTGTGTAGCCATTCCTCATTATCTATCAAAAAAATTATATCTGGAATATCAAATCATACTTTAGTAATCTTTCAAGCTAAGGGAAAAAAATGTAATTGGTGATTGGATTTTGAATGCAAGGCAAGGGGAAGAAAATATAAATTGCCTGGTCCAAAATTTTTGATTGAACAGGAAAACGAAATGGGTCCTTCAATATTAATTAGTAGCAAATTCTAAGTCAAAAATTGCGTAAACATCACATGTCAGCATTAACACTTCCTATTATTTTCATACAATTATGTTATCCTACAACGCTGTATTAGCATACTATTAAGCACTCACATCTTTGTATTCTTTTTTTTTTCTTTAGTAATATCACCGAAAAGCAAAATATGTCTTATGTCATGACGGGGGATATGACCTAAGCAACACTTATTATTTCATATTAATTTTTATGAATTTCTTTCCTTCAGCCTTTTGGGGTTTTTTGAAAAGGGACAAAACCTTGCTCGGACCGCGGGCGAAAAAAGTAGAGTTAGCTACCCTTTAAATTATAATGTAAAGGAAAGCCCATGAAAACTGGTACATTCATAATTTGTTAATAATATTGAGAATAATTGTAAGAACACAAACTACTACATTGCAAATACAGAGTTAGAAAAATTTGAATTCCTAAAGTCTCTTATAGTTAGGACCCTGCTTTAACACAGCTTTCCTCTTTAACCATAATATGCAAGGTCAGTGCTCGATTACCTGCCCTGAAGGTCGATGACCATGTAGAACCGTTTGTACACCTGCAGCTTCTCTCAGCATTTCCTTGGCGGGTAAAGCAAACATGGAAAACTTGATTATTCCACCTCACCTCAACCCCCGTCCTTCTCAACATTGATAAGAACCAAAAAACAAAATCGTCGATTTTTTTTTCTTTTTTAAATTGCTGTCTCAACCCCACTCCCAGCCAGTCTTCAGCAGTGCTGTTATAAAAATCTTCTTAACAGAAAGAGATATGTAATTTGTTTGATAAATCGGATCTCCCGTGATAGTCGTTTTCACGTCGGGACAGACATAACGGTCAGGTCGTAAAGTGAGATATCTAGATTTCTAGAAATCCATCAACTCAGCCATCCATCCATCCGTCCATCCACCCGTCCATCCATCCATCCATCCATCCATCCATCAATCCATCCTTCATAATATTATATTCACAGTGACATAATGACCTTTACAAATAATAATTCTATAAATCCATAAGTCAATGTTCTATACTTCACCGCTCCTTACATAACGGTGAGGTCGTGAAGTGAGATATCTAGATTTGTAGAAATCCATCAACTCAGCCATTTATCCATCGGTCCATCCATCCATCCATCCATCAATCCATCCATCCATCCATCCATCCATCCATCCATCCATCCATCCATCCATCCATC